GGGTCTTGCTCGGAAGTCCACTGCCATGTGCAAGCTGCCTCTGTTTTCCCTGCTCTTCCCCTTTGAAAACTTCCAAAGTCTCAGAATTGCTTCCCTGGACATTGGGAGACACCACCGGCTGAGGAGAATGGCCACCGGCAGTAAGATGTGATCATCGGCTGTTGATGAAGCTATCGGCCCAGGATGGATTGCCCGTTGGCACTCTGTGCAGTCGATCGGCAAAAAGTTCCTGCAGAATCTGTTTGACAGCAGCAATGGATAGAGCTTTGCATGACAATGCAATTCAAGCTATGTGTGCACCAACCACACCCCTTATCATGTTTATGACTCAAAGGGACATGGTCCTTGGTTCTCGGACCATCAATCGCGCATTTCGATGCGTGATGGCCCAAGGATCCAATTTATGCATGTTGATTTCAAATGCAATGCAAACCAACAAACAAGTGAGGAGCTTAACCTCAATAATGGATAATCAAGGGGCAAAACATGCATGCAATGCAACCTAAGCATATTAACTAGGCATGCAACATGGTAATGCAAACAAGCATAGAAGGCATGTGACAACTATGCTAGTTACTCAAGCATGCAAGTATGCAAAGCATGCAACATGTTAGGTAATTCCAACTAGGAGAAATGCATGCTAAATGCAAAGTCACTTAGACATGCCACAACACGTGATAGGCCAAGCATGCAATCAACACACAAGGTAAGCATGTCACAACAAGCAAGAATGGACCTAGACTAATTTAGGCAGCCCTCAAACTAACCTAAAACAGTGGCCAAAATGCTATGGAATGAGGGGCAAATACACATACAAACATACATGCAAATGGACCAACACTTAAGCATCGAAGAGACAACTCTTAAGCACACTTAGGAGGATGCAAACATGGACATATGGCATGCACACGAGCTTTAAAAATCAGGCTAATGATGGTGCTAAACCAAGCAAACGAGACAAACAAAGCATGCAATTGGTCCAAATACTTGAGGCAAGGCAAGGAGACTTAAACCATGGCCAACCCAACCAAGCCCCACAAGGCCAAGAAGACTTAAAACATGTTCAAGACAGACCTAAACAATGCTAAGGGAACACCTAGATGGCATCCAAGTATCCTAAAATGCAAGCATACTCCAAGGCCTAAACAAGGGGTATAAGGCAACAACCTTTAAACACATTGAAGGATGATTAAATGCAAGCATACAAGCATACAAAGTGGACTGAAATGACATGAAAAATGGTCCCAACCCACTAAATCAAAGCAAGTAATGCATTCTATACTCTCACACCCTTAAGGCCAACAAGCCAAAATGCAAAAGGGCTATACAATGCATGCCAAAGTCTACCCAAACAACTAAGGACAGACCTTAATCATGGCAAAATAAACATGAAAGCTTCACAAAGCTAGGCCTAAAGCATGCTTGAACAAGGGTCAAAACCTAGATGCATGTTAAGGCAATAAAATGGCATTACAAGGCATGTATGCTAAGCAAGCATGGTGTACCAAAACCAACTAAAAACAGAGGCATATTATGACATAATAAGCACAAAAATCAGCTAAGGCATGGTCAACATAAACCTAAACATGGTGCTCCCTCAAGAGGCCAAAAAATGCCCTTTTCAAGGACAGCAAAGAGAGGGGTGGCCCTCTCCTTCTTGGGACCTCAAGGCACATCCTCACCTCTGAAATCCCTCAAGATTTCAGTGGTGAGGAGGCCCAAACACCAAGGTCTCGGAGCTCACCCAAAATGGCACAGAATGGAGCCTTACAAGGCTTAAGAGGGGTCAAACAACCCCAAATCACAAAACACTCTAAACAAACTGTTTAGAGGGCCTAAAAATAGAACTTTTTTATGTTATATACTAAACACAAAAATAGTTGCAAGGTAGGCAAAAATACAATGCAAGAAAGGGGTAAAAAGGAGCAAGCTTCTTACCCTTGAAGACCTTCTTCAACAGTGGAGCTCCAGCAGCTTCTTTAAGTTGAAACCAGCTTCAAAACCTCGAAAACAACCCTCAAGAGGCATCAGCTCCAAGGGATGGTGTAATGGTGGGTGCTTGTGAGCAAAAGTAAGACAAAACACACACACTAAGCTCAAGAGAGAGAGAGAGAGATATAGGATAGATACAAATTCCTAACCCTAATATCAAAGCTCTCTAAAAATGTTGTCTAGCCCTAAATCCAAGAGAGGAGACTCTCTCTTATAGAGCTCTCTCTTGTAAAGCTTGTCAAATAAGCTTGTCAAGAGAAAAATCCCTTCATACACGTGTATGGAGGGGAGCAGAGTGGGTGCCAGCTATCACAGCTGGCACAAAATATCTACTAAAAGTAGATGAACAGTGATCGGCCATTCAAAATTGCCATTTTGGCAAAATAAATGGCCGACCGGTGACAAAGAGTGCCGACCGGCAATATACATTGCCGATAGCATAAAATCACTGGCCGGTGGCCTCAAGCCATGGCCGGTGATGTGTGGGGATGCCTCACAAGTCATTCCCTGCCCCTCCAAGGCAAAACACAAGTGTTTGGTGCAAAACCAGACACAACACAGTCGAGTCGAGAGATCCTGAGGCAAGGCGCGCAACTGAGACCTCCGGGAACTCAAGACGAACACAAACAAGGGTAATCACCAAGTGTTCCATTGGTGACATCCAAGTCTTGAGGACGGTCAAAAATGGGGTGTCTACAGTTGCCCCTCTGTGACAAAACTCGAAAGTCATAACAATGATGGGAGTGAATGTCAAAGCCCAGAGACGACTCATTTTTGACAAGGCCGAAGACTTTGACAAACATGCAAGACAAGCAAGATATGCGCCCGAAGGCAGGGGCAAAATGCAAGACAATGCACAAAGCCGAACATAACTTACGATCATGCAAAGAAAGCTGTAATGAAGCACACATGCGACAGTTTTAAGCTAGCATACACCAATGCAACTACATTACAATTGCAGAAAGGATGTAAGATAATTATGCAATTCTCGATACGTCTCACTCGGAGGATACAATACCTGTGTGGTTTGTCTGGTTGCACCAGCCTCAAATGAACCGTACATAAAATATCGTGCCTGAAAAGAAAACAACTCAACAGGTACGATGTTATTAGCAACATGCATGACAATGCAAAAATGGATGCAAAATGATATGCAATATATACAAAATAATGTATAAATAATACAAATGAAGATGCAATGTAATTGAAACAATGCAAACTATACGCAAAGCAATTGAATCATGATCCAATCATGAGCGCACTACAACAAAAGTAACCTATGGTGACGAAAACTAGTGAAGAAAATAAAATTCGTCACTAAAGAAAAATAATTCGTGAGGAATTTATAAATTTTGTCACATATAATAAAAAAATAAAAATGATAGGTGACAAAATTTATTTTCGTCAATAAATACTTCATTTTAAGTGAGGAAAAATTAAGTTTCCTCACCAAATATTTTCCCGCTATTTTTTTTGGGTGGCGCCAAAATTTTGGGACTTTTGGTGAGAAAAAAATTTGTCACTAATTATAAAATTATTTGTGAGGAATATATTTTCGTCACCAAAACGTTTTAATATTTTTGATATCTTTTGGTGAGGAAATAATATTGTCACCAATTTTGGTGGGAAATTTTTGATATATTAAGCGGCAATAAAAAAAAATAGGGTATTAATTTTTTTTACCCTTTTTCTATTTATCATCTCTCTCTCTCTCTCTCTCTCTCTCTCTCTCTCTCAAAATAGGGTATTAATTTGTCTTACCTCTTGCTCCTCCACCACGCCGATCGCCATCGTCATCGCCTCTATTAGCCTTACCGATCGTCGCCGCCACTAGTAGCTTTGCTGGTAACCGCCACATCTTCTTCGCTCGGTGATTTGGTACGTGATTTCTCTATGCTCTTTTTCTGATGTCTCTTTCTCTTATTCTCTGTTTTGGTATGGTGAAGAAAATTAGTGAAGAAAACAAATTTCGTCACTAAATAAGAATAATCCATGAGGAATTATAAATTTTGTCACGTATAATAAAAAAATAAAAATAAATAGGTGACGAAATTTATTTCGTCAATAAATACTTACTTTTAGGTGAGAAAAAAATTAAGTTTCGTCACCTAAATTTTTCCCACTAATTTTTTTTTATGGTGCCAAAATTTTGAAACTTTTGGTGAGAAAAAAAATCGTCACAAATTATAAAATTATTAGTGAGGATATATTTTTATCACTAATTTTTTTTTTTTTTTTGAGAAACTTGATTTTAAATATTTTACATATTTTTAATGAGAAAATTATTTTATCCCTAATTTTGGATGAAAAATTTTGATATATTGAGCGGTAATGAAAAATGACTACAAATTTTTTTCCCTTTTTTATTTTTATTTTTTTGGGTTGTGTTGATCAGTTTTCTCTCACATCTCTCTCTCTCTCTCTCTGTGTCAAAACAAAACACAAGTTGGGTCTCTTCGTTTAGCACCCCTTGTCCTCCTTCAGCTTGTTCTCCTCTAGCACCGCCGCCGACGTCGCTCGTTCTCCTCCTTCAGTGTCGTTGCCAACGTTGCATCTCCAAGCCCGTCCGCCCTTTTCCTTCTGTGTCACATGTTCTCTTCCATTAGCTCTTCTTATTATTCGATTTCTTTAATTGTTTATTTTCAGGTATGGGTCCTTTCTGTATCTCTCTTACTCGATTTCTCTATTTTTTTTAATCTTTGTTTTCCTTAATTTTCAGAATTAATGTTTTTCCTAATTTTTGAAACTAATGAGACACGCAGTGTACAGATGATTTAGAATTACCTATTAGAAAGTTCGTTAATTTGTCTCGTCTAGTTTCTCCCACTACTAGAAAAATGACTTTTTACTACAATATAATTTGCGACCGCCATATTAGCAGTCGCAAATAGTCAATTTATTCCTTATTTTCCTTTATTTATTTTCCCCTCTTCCTTACATTTGCCCTAGTCCTTCACAAACACTGATCGTTCTCTCTCTCTCTCTCGGTCTCACAGACTGGTATGAATCTCTCAATCTCTTCTCTCTCTCTCTCTCCTTGATGTTCTCAGATCAGCACCTCTGCTATGCTAATATCCTTCATCCTTCTCAGGTAAACACACATGTATATGTAACTCTATATACTATGTATATGTGAATATCAATCTTTGAAATTGAAATTATTCTGTTGAGATCTGAGCAAGAATCGAAGTAGTCGTCCTCAACTTCCTTAAGATCTTGAACTCTTCGACTCCGGCAATCTCATGTCACTTTGGCTTGCAATTTTACTTCAAATCTCTAATCTCGAAATGTGTGTTAAGCATTGAGTCACTGTTGATTTTAAGTAGATGAATTTGGGGATTTTTCAGTGTATTACAAATCGATAGAAGATGGAGTAATAGTAGAGCGAGTTGAGGTTTGATGAAGATTAGAGATCGAGAAGTTGGATACTCAGTGGTTCACTACGAAGAAGTCGTCTCCTGATTCGAAGCAAAAGTGAGGTTCGTTTTGCTGAAAAAATTGTTCCAGTATTTCAATTCTATTTCAATTCTCAATTTAATTTTTCAATTTCTTCTTTATCTTGTTGTTTTGATTGATTGATCCATGATTTTTCCAATTTTCTTGCTGATATATCTGTACAAGTATATGTAGACATATGTTTTTTTTTTCATTGAATAAAGGGCCATCTATGGCAGCTTGACAGTACAGTTAGCTTACATGTTTAACAAGCCTGTTGATTTCTGTTTGTCCAGTTTGACACAATGATCAGTAATAGTTCCAAACCATAGGTGAAATCAGTAATTTACATCTTTTGATGGTACAGTAGCTCGTGTAGTCTTAGTGTTGGGGGATTATTTGAAGGATGAACCATGGTTAAAGCTCCTCTGCAACTACCTGAAGTATGAACTATTTTATTTGTAATTTTTATTTTCATGTTGCCACAAATCACGACATGTTTTATTTAAAATATTATAGGTCAAATCAATTTATATGTTTGAATATTGAATTTGATTGATGAATTCAGTAGTTATTCATGACCTGCTGAATGATTTGAATGTGCGAAAGCTTAGGGTAAAAACTGCAAGTCAAATCTTTGCCTTAATGAAGAGGATTTAAACTACTTTTTTAGATGCAGTCAAATTATTATGCAACTGTGTGGAGTTTAAACACAAATAACTGCAGGCTTGAATTCAAAGATAATACAAATAACTTGATATTTTCAAAGACAACTAGAATTGAAAATGGCAAACTGCACTGCAACCAAGTGTTGATAAACTAATTGTACAAGCCTAAATTGAGAATTGAAATTGACGCTGTTTGATGTATTGGTGGTGCGCAACCCTCATTTTATCTTTGCGTTGGCTATTTATAATGGCTGGCTGGCTGCGTGCAAGTTCAAACATCAGCACCTCACATCCTTCTGTTTTCAAGACTGCATGTCCTCCACCTTCTTCATTGTTGCACTCCTTATCTAGTGTGTCTTGCTCTCACACTCTGGTTGCCCCACTTGTCCCAACTTTCCAATGCCTCCATTAATTCAAAGAGAAGCTACACATTCTACACTACTGATTTTTTATGGTTGAGGCTTCACAGATTGCCATGTCCTCCTTTTCTTATGTAATGCAGACTTACTTCCATTGACTTGATGGAATACTTCTCCGTGTGTGACATGTTCTTTTCCTTTGACCAGGTGTTGAACAATACCACAACTATCCCCTGCTTCATGGGATATGAAATAACACTTAGTTGTTGGGATGACTTATACATGCCCTTCTTCCATAAGTTGCCATTTGTATAGACATAGTTACACATGAAGATTCCACATCTATCATAGCAAAACTACTTCTTTTAACATAAAAGGGGAGATAAAAAGTTTATAACAAACTCCTCTCAATTAATCTCAGTTTAATATAAATCTGACCCAAGTTACTTCAACCAACCCTTTCTTACTTGGCTTCCATCACTACGTACCCATTTCCTGTTGGCTAGCCATTTTTAGCCTATGGCTTGGTTGGAGATTAGTCACCCTTAAAGTGATTGTTTGGAAGTTGGACACCCTTGAAGTTTTCAACTCTCACCTATTTCCTAATTTTGTTTTGTTATTTTTGTCAAAGATTTGACTGTATCATCAATTGGTATTTGAAATTAATTTGGTGTGTATCCCATGCGCCATGGTTCTAGCCACTTAAATGAATCTATACTCACCCTGATCAGAAAGGTCTTTGTTTAGGTGTCTAAAAAAAATTTAAAAGAGCGAACTTTGAAAGTGTTGTTCATTATGTTGAATCCTATGAGCAGAATTGGGAGCAAACAAAGCATGAAAATTTCTACAATTAACACTAAGTCAACCAAATTCTGGCTGGTGGTATTGGGGCATGTGATTAAAAAACAGAAACTTGCTTCCTAAATTCTGACTGATGGAATTCCTGCAACTAGAAGGAGACAATCCTTCAGACTATATTTCACATGCAAAATGGCTTCCTAAATAGGCTCAGAACAATAATGTGGTGATGCACTGATTCATTATGGTGTATTATTTTATGTTGGGATAACTCAAACAAACACATCAAATATTCAAAATTAAGCTCTTGACAGGCGCGCACAAGAGAGACTCAAGGAATGAACAACAAAATGTCTCTGTTGGAATTGTGGTAAACACTGGAATTAGAAATATTGTTGTGAAAAGAGGACTTTATATGGTAAAATTATCCTTCAATCATGAAAGTGTTGGATAAACTTTCATAGCCAACCTTGAGGATAAAGTTGATTTTTAGGGGGTGGAATGATTGGATCCAATATTGTTAGAAAATATTATTAAGCTATATTTTGATCTACTTCTTTATTTAAGCTTTAATTAGAAAATTGTAGGTACATGATTCGTCCTATCACGTGACTCGTCCATGAAAATTGCCATATCGCCTCCATATGTTTTGGTCCCAACTCCTTGTGTTAGTCTAATAAGGTGGCACTTGGACCAACCAGATACTACCATAGCGGTGCCTTAGCCTTGAGCTTAGACACTTGGGGGCAATTTCCAGGAGGCGCCCCAGGCATGCTTGACTCTCACTCACTCAGTCAGATTAGTCCTCCACTTGAGTGTGCCCCTCTCCATTTGTGATGCATTAACTATTCTATTGGATAGGCTAATCACACAAACACAATTTCAAATTTTCGTAATATTAACTCTTCATTGATGTTACACATATATTTATAGGATAAAGACTCTCTTAATTCTATAAGGATTATTACTCAAATTTTGGGTCTTGGATGACGAATTTTTTTGGTCTCCAAAGAGCTAACTTCGTCACTATAGATATTTGTGAGGAAATATTTTTGTAGTGACATCTGGTTAAAACTCTATACAGCATACACGTTGCTTAGAATTTGGATCTCTTTGAAATTGTCCAACTTGAGTTAAAGTACATTTCCTCCTTTCTAACTTGATGTAACATATTTGTTGCAGATTGGGGTTTTTCTTGATAGGAGGGTTTTTTTCTACATTCTTCCAATTTTCTCATTTGTTTTACTTTACTCCAATCTTCCACATAAGGTACTGCTTATGAAACTTGAAATTCAATTTACTTAAGGTCAACTTTTTGCACAAATTCTACCATAGTTGTCAGTGCTGCAGGAGCTCCGCTTTGTTATTAGTTTTGTTCCAATGTTTATCAGCGGCAATCGCAGCTAGCAGAATGTACATCTCTTTTCTTTTATTTAATTAATACCTCAATTAATTTATACGAATACAGAGTTATTTTTATCTTCTTGTAGTTGTTTTAAATGATATACTGAAGAGTAGTTTTATATTTGACCAACAGAGGACGATTGAAAGAACAACTGCAAAATGTGCCAGATTCCTCTCTGCTTTCTAAAAGCATGTTAGACTTTCAATTTACTATTTGGGAGCATAGCACAAAGTGTTGCTTTCTTAAAACTAGGCTCTTAAAACTATTTTCTGTGGTTATAATTACTTATTTTTTATACTTAGATATGATAATGGGCTTTTAATGAAGCAAAGAGACATATTTCACTGGTAACTATGTTACCTTCCTAGGTGGTGTTGTATGATGCTCTTAATTATGCAATGTGTGAGGCTTATCAGTAGGATGCTACAATAATATGGTAACCCAGGTTAATAAATTTTTCAAGCTAAAGATACTACTATTACCCCCAACATTTTGCAAGCTTACTAGTCATCCTGGTCTTAAGCTCTGTAGTTAGTATCTTCAACCCTAAGCAACTGTTTCGGGTCAGTGTTCTCCTGGATCAATTGACATTATGTTTTATGTAGAACATTCATTTACCATGAATGATGGAAGTATAATTGCTGCAAATTTCACTTTTGAAAATAAATAAAGGACAAGATATGAGAGTGTGCGGCCAATTTCCCTTGTTGGTTTAACACATTTTCTTGGTCTGTGGTCTTGTTGTTGCCTTACAGTTTGAACTATATTATGTTGCTATCATCTCATATCATTTCTGTTACATAAATTTGACCTTATGATTTCCAGGTATAGTTGTAGAATTTAAGAACTTGTGCTCTTTCGTTTCAGGTGGTTAGCTGCATGGAACAACATCTTTGACATATGGTGTTGACATTGAAGGAATACGTTGGATAGGCATTTTGCAGGTCTTTTTCATGCTTTCAGCTTTCAGCTTTTTCTTTTTATTGTTTGTCTTGAAAATTCTTTTTACACATGCACTTTTTTTTTTAGTGCCAAGGATAACTCTTGTCAAAAAAGTAAAATCCCTAACTCCACCTCTATTTTTTTTATGTGCATTCGACAAATGACTACCCAGTTGTATAATAGATCAGCATTAGCATTCGACAAATGACTACCCAGTTGTATAATAGATCAGCATTAGCATTCGACAAATGACTACCCAGTTGTATAATAGATCAGCATTAGCATTCGACAAATGACTACCCAGTTGTATAATAGATCAGCATTAGCATTCGACAAATGACTACCCAGTTGTATAATAGATCAGCATTAGCATTCGACAAATGACTACCCAGTTGTATAATAGATCAACATTAGCATTGCTTGCTTTGGAAATAATAGATATCTAACACTAGATTGAGTTGCAACAGAGTATTAGCTTGTGCTAGTAATAAGAAAGATTGTTCTATGATTTTGAAATGTGCTTGTGGATGGTTTAACACTTAAACACATTCACCAAAAGAATCTCCCATAATAGTGTAGTCATCAAATTTTTAGCCTTCTATAGCATGGTTTGAAGGAATGACTAATCGCAACATTATTTGCACCATAAGTTGTTTGCAATTGAACTCACCAATCTATATATGAACTGTGCTCTGACTGGATGATTGATTTGAGCTTTGGAGATTTATTTATTGGAAGTTTAAATAGACAAAAAAATAAATACCAAGAATGTTTTTTTTTTTTTGACAGGGCTATGGACGATCATTGTGGTTGATACATGGGATGTTTAGGGCCAATGGTGGTTGTGGATATGTGAAAAAGCCCGATTTTTTGTTAAAGGTCGGTCCAAATAATGAGGTCTTCGATCCTAAAGCTACATTACCATTCAAAACAACTTTGAAGGTGAGTCAGCTATTACCAGGACTTTTAACCATACTTGATTTCCTTGCACTTCTGCTAGAAAGTTCTTCTCTTTCCATTTCTTTACCCATCATAATTCTTTATATATTTCTGTGTATTTACTTTACTTCATCTATTCTTTTTGGTTGATTTGAATTTTGTTGCTTCGAAACAGGTGACTGTTTATATGGGTGAAGGATGGTATTTTGATTTCTCTCACACACACTTTGATACATATTCCCCACCAGATTTCTATACAAGGGTAAATTGATAGAGTCATCAATATTGTAATTGTTGTCAATGTCTTGGATAATATTCATTTTGATTACAATAGAGACCTGCTATTTCTCTTATTAAAAGTCATAACTATGATAATGTTTGCTAGTCCTATTTCAGACAAAAAAGGTGTATAAGGAACCATGGCATTAAAAAATGCTCAATTTTCCATTTCTGTTATTTGCCATAGTTTCAGGGAAAAAGTGGATATATTGTAACAATAAATGTATTATTGATTGATGAGTTGATTACAAGATTGTTGTGTATATTGATTGTTATTGTTGTGTTTACAATGATCAAATATATAGAAGAGAAGAAGGTAGTAGGTGAAGTGGTAGGGGATGAAGTGGAGGTGGTAGTGGTAGGTTAGGTGAGGAGGTGAGTGTGTGTGGTAGGTAGTAATGGGTTAGGTTTAGTGGGTTTAACAGCCCCCCTCAAACTCAATGAGGTTAGACACAAACCAACTTGAGTTTGGAGAGAGTTACAAAACAGAAAAATAAACTGATAAATAAAATAAAACAGGATAGGAGACACGGTATGGTCGTGTCAGACCGTTGTAGAAGACACAGTTTACGGGGTCATGTCGGACCGATGTAGCAGGACACTGTGTGGTCGTGTCAGACCGATGTAGAAGACAGTTAAGCATATATACACAGCTAAAGAATGAAAAAATATTTTGTTTAATTAAAAGTATATTGGTAAAATTTATTTTACCCCCTCGTGGTTTGGTGGCTACTTACAACGCTTTACCCCTATGGTCAAACTATAGCAAAGAAAGCCATGGTTTTTTTGAGGACTAAAGTTGCCATAGGTGCTGGTTTACATTTATTATGTATTTATATTTTAAATAATAAAAGAAAATAATGTATACACATTTCCCATAGGTCTTCAGTGTAGAAACTTCTATATGCCCTCGCCCTCCGCTCTCACTCTCTAGCCCCACCACGCCCCTGTCCCTGTTTTGTTGCAACTATAGTTATAGGTGCATGTGATTGGGTCGCCATAACCAACATGAGAGCACTACACCTTTTGTAGAGTAACAGAGAAGATAGGAAACCCATTTAACAGTACAACATGGATGCAGGAAAAGGAAAAATTACATCCACAGAAATAAAACCGAGACCATGGATTTGGCCGTTCCATGGAACTGTAAATCAGGATTGCATCTCACGATTAGGGATTGTAAGCTGGCATTTTAACTTTCTCGATTGAAATATTATTCTGGAGGAGAGCAATTTAACTAAAGAAATGAATTGCGTTGAAGACAAGGGTATTTCCTAGCATTTTGTTAACAGTTAACATGAAATATTCTGCCTCTCATAAACCCCATCTTACCAAATACTAGGGGCAATTTAAAGATGGTTGATGTGGAGGTTCTTGAAGGTGGCATGTAGCATCGATCTTCTCCAGCAACCCGATGATTGTGAACTGGACAAAGTTTGCGTCTGTGTATCGCTGTACACGCCTTTGTGATATCCGTATAGTCACTCACTCGCACTGGTCAAGCCTCCGTGTGAGATATTGCCACACTGAGACCCTACCACTAACCCACCTCCACATGTTCTAATCCTAATAACCTAAACCAACACATATCAAGCAACACACAAGTACTTACAGACTCTTACGATTCTAAGTTAATAATTCTGTCTATATGTAATTTAGTATCATTTGGGCAGCGGAGTTGAAAAGGCCTAATGTTATAGAAAATCTCTAGTGGAAATATAGACAGGAATGTCGCGTAAATACTAGCGCACCAGAAACGGCCTAAAGTCTGTTTAAGATACAAGGGTCTTCGATCACACGCACCATGCCCAGATACAGTGTTTATTTGTTACATAGCGGGTATCAGAGCGCCAAGGCTTGAGGAAATTTTTTAGTAATTTGTAGCGGTCCGTCTCAAAATTCCATCGGCATCTGATACCGATGTAAAAGTTGGGACAATATATGGTGGATACATTAGGCATTCGGACTATTGTTTTTTGAAGTTCGAATTACACCATCGGAGTTCATGATTCTCCTAGTATATAGAAGAGGCCGCTGCAGGGGACTGAAATAGTCAGGTGTCAAGCAAGAAGATTGTTAGTGCTGAAGATTGTGATCGTGTCTGGCTTAGTGCGTCCCACTTTTCTTTTTTCCACCATTCCTTGTTAGTGGGTGGGGTAGGTTACTTCGCAGCTGCAGAGTACCGCAGTGCTGATATCCCTTGGTGTCATGGGATATCTTTGGGAGAGCGCATGCTCAAGTATAACCTAGGGCAAACCGTTAGGTTTTGTAGAGTGGCTGGAGCACAAACTAGGTTAACCGATTGTAGAGTGAAGGTTACAGGTGAATAATCAAGTTTTTCTTAACATATATCCACAGTGAGCTGCCTTATATAGAGATACACCTGCAAAGCAATATTTTTCGGGTTAAATATATAGGCTAACCAATGTCCTCTTTCCTCTCAGAGTCATAAATACTAGTTGCTGGAATTTTAAGTGAACCTCAGTTCTCCAACCCCCTCGTGCCCATTGCAGTACATTCCAGGTGTCGCGACCCAGTCATGGCCGCATAAACCACGCTTCATTACACCCCCTATGTTCAAATATAGCTCATTCAGGTAAAGCATTGGTTTCACCGGTTTTGGTGAGCGTAAAGTGCCATAGCCAAACCCGATGTGGTTTACCATTTAATATGTTTATATAATTTAAATAACCTCACCGTAAAATATACTATAATGTTATACACATTCCCAGAAGTGCTGCTCTAGGTTTCTCTCGAGTGCTCAACGGAGCATGCTACGCCACGCTCCTCAAGCAAACTTCTAATATTGCCGCCCCTCGGTCTTCGTCCGCACCACCGGGCCCTAGGCTCACTTCTCCTCAGCCCCACCACCATCAGCAGTCCTCCCCGGCATAAGAACGGTGCTTTTTCGTCGGAAAGGCGACTCCACCTTCGTCCCCTCGTTTGTTGACGCAAAACCTACACCGTTATAGGGATGTGCATGGTCCCATAACCACAACACTACACATTTTGGAAGCGAAACATTAACTGCAGAAAATTCACACAAATATTAGAGACATGTTCCCATTTCTGGGCATCATTAACTTCTCTCTTAATTTTAGAATCCTGAAACAAAATATTTAAAGAAAGAAACTGTTAAACACTAAACACCCGTAGATCCAATAGCCGATAAACACTACCTACCACGCAAGACACAACACCTCCACGGCATTGCGCTCCACATCCAACTAACCCAGCCCCGAAGCTTCGGCCTTACCACTACCACCTCCACCCTACCTCGTTGGATTTCCCCCGGCAAACAACCTAAACCACAGCTCTCATGGCCGATACTGATATACCATTCGATTCTTGGATCTTTCTCTCTGTATATATTTGAGGTCATTGTAAACACCAACTAATACAGGCAATCAACCTATTACATATGGACACAAACAATCATGGTGTACCATCAAGCCATCCGATCACATCAATAATACATTTATGTGTGTATCCCTATGGTATCAGAAGGACGAAGGGGGTTGTAGAATTTAGCTGATTCCGCTTCACCGGTGACTCCCGGGCAGGGACCCCTCGCACCGTACCCGCGGACAAACCCAAAATTTTCTTAATTCTCTACTCTGCGCCACTTTCTTTTCCAGCCTAATCCTTATTCCTGAGGGACTTACCGTCGCCACTCACACCGACCATCTGCCTCCTGCCAATCGCCTTTGCACTTCTGGATATTCCTCGAAGTTCCCTACCTCCCATTCTAAGGACGACAGGCAGAACCGCAGCGGAGCGCCGAGTCGGTCGTCTGGTGACATATCGATGTAACACTGTGGCAGAGTGGGAGTTGGTGACTTGTGTGCGCAGGGTTCCGGGGATGGAGTAAGCAACAAAACTGTGCCTCAGTGGCTAGAAGTAGCTGCCATTACGACTGGAGCCGGTGCAGAGTGACAGCACATTGAAGGCCGGGTGGGCTAACCATTGCGTACTTCCTCTGAGAATGCGTGATGCGAGGCGGCATAAGACCTTGAACATAGTAATGGTTCTCCACCCCGATGACTACGCATCCAGATGACCCCCGACATCTCCACCTCACCCAGCGAGCGGTCGAATACATTAAATCTAGCCATCGACCAGAATTAGAGAGACACAAACACTGAAACCCAACCCAACTTCTTCTTTCGCTCCCGTCATATGCTGCCGCGCACAGTCCTTGGCCAACAGGTGCCAGAGACGCCCCATGGTTTTCTTTATCGCTTCGTTTAACTGTCCCTCTCTCCTTTACTCGTTCTTTATCTCTTGCTTTCTTCTGTCCTATCCTCCATTCGTCCATGCGCATTACATACCACCCTACATGCAAACGATCTTTTCTCTCAGATAGCTCTTATATTGACTCCACACCACTCGGCTCTTGCGCTCTTCGTCTTCGAACAGCGCGGGCGCGCGCTAAGCTCACTGCTCCCCGGATTCGCAACACTTCATTCCCTTTTTTTTTCTTTTTACTTCCGTCTCATAGTGCACATGACACAACCAGGACAATACACCGGCACTTGCCATCCTCCAAACACTACAGCCGAGACAGGCTTCCTCTCCTGGCTCACGCGCACCGCCCACGCCCTCGTCTGGTTTCACGGCCTAACACATTAATCATTGTTGTATGATCCACCACATGCGATCCTGTCTGAGGCGGCTACGGACCCAATCGTGCACTTACACCATACCTTGTTCAACATCATCGCGGAGCCGCCCCCATCGCTGCCATTGATCCTCATTTTCTTATCTTGTTACTTTAAACCTCAAATAATACAACATAGATAGAAGAAGTACAAAGCAAGCACCAATAACAGACATACACACCACCTAACACACATTAAACACACACCTAAAACACACTGCTCCAACACAATTTACAACTTTCTTACATACCAGCAACCATTCCGCCGCTCTCTGCCCGTTCCTCACCTCTCCGTCATCAGCCTCGCGCCCCTTGCACTCGCGCCGCACTTCTCTCACTTCCTCCTGTAATTTTACTAGGTCACAGTGTACTCGAGTGCCGCTTCAGAGTAGAGACGGCTGAGAGGTACGGGCACCAACACTAAGCCTGACACACCTCGAAATCAAATACAAAAATAAACGAAAAATAAAAACAACACACAACATAAATCTTATTTCAATCTCTAACCCCACGCAACGATATTACCGAAATTCTCATGCTTTCTTCGATCCTATTCCGCTTCTTTCTTTCTTCACTCTAGGTCTTCTTCTT